CACCTTTGAACCTTAGAGTCGCGCTATTCTTGCCACCAGAGATTGCCTATGTCCAATCGAGAGACACGGACGCTTGACACGGCTGCGTTCTTCCAGCTTTTCAATAAACTCTTCGCACTTTTTCAGCTATCCGAAATATTCGCCCAAGGTGGCGACTTGGCGAGAACGCTCCAACAGGTCGCGCTCAACATTCTCCGCGTTCTCCATTTTTGTGAATTCACTTTTTCACACGTATTACACAGATATAACTACTGCTTTGAGATTACACACTAAATTTTTTCTTGCACACCGAATGAGAACAGCGTGCGCTCTCGTGGTCACTGTACTATGACCAGGCAGCAGTTTCGGTCCTCATTATATATCCCGTTCAACCCTTTGTTCTTCAACGTGCGATGATGCAGTTTTTAATTCGCAAGAAATAATTGCGATATCTCCCCGCTGATATTTCTTAGAAATAAATAAATACGGTATAAAGCCGCCGCTTGGCAGATCATTGTTACATTTCTGGTGTAAATTTCACCCCGTGAAGCAGCGAAGACACATCGCAACATGTTCGCCCCGGATGACGCAAAATATCCCCGCTGATATTTCTTAGAAATAAATAGATAACGTATAGATTAGCAGCAGCTGAACAGCCACGCTCACAGCCACGTATGGGGGGAGAGGAAAGAAACGCAACCCCGCTTAGTAATAGATATCTGATTGTCGGCGCTCGCCAAAGAAACGGCGGCAGCCCTTTTGTTCTTAATAATTCTTAGAATTTGATTAACCAGAATGTTTACCTTATCTTATCTTATCTTGGGTAATAGATATCGCTGTAATAGATATCTTATCTTGTAATAGATATCCGCTTATCTTGTTTATAAACATATCAGGTAATATGAGCCGATAAGAGGCCCTTATCAGGTAACCTGAGCTGATAAGATAAGCTTATCAGCTGATAAAATCCCCTTCCCCGTGTGACGTCACCCTTCTTGCTCCCGATTCCCCCCGCTCCTCCCCCCCTTAATTGCCCCTGGTCTAGAATCGGTCTAGTATACCTACTTTGCTTCTAACTTTTTTATTAATACTATCTCATATTTAATATCATCTTTACATATAAAATAACCCCTCCTGTATTTCTGTTTTCAGCATCACATCTAATCTTACTATAACCTGGTACGTTCACTTCAAAGTATTCAATTTCAGCAATCACTCTAGTTTCTGATAACGCTACGAACGCAGAGTTTATTTTCTTCATAATCTGATGCTGTATCTCGTCCTTTTGCGCCATGAAACTTTGAGCATTTGTATATAGTATTAATTCCGTTTTCTTCTGTAGTTGCTATTTTGCTTTCTTCCAGCCGGCCCTCTTCTTCTTCTCCTGTATCACTCTCTTGAAAGTCGAACATTTCGGATCAAGTGCGTCATGTTGATCATTTATTTTCAAATTGTATGTTTTAATCTTAAACATATAATTTATACATCTTTTCTTTGTTACTGTACATTCACTCACATTATGATCTTCTGTATATTTATGACGTTTTATTACGCATACAATTTTTTGCAATATGATAATAACCCCAGCATTTAAAACATCTTTTAATGTTAATGTGATTGAATGCAGGACACTTTCTCCATCCTACATTCAATTTCTCTTTGCTCAACATTACTTTATGAATCGCTTCATCTGATTCAATTATTACGATATCATCCTATTCTTTTCTTCCGAATTGATTTTTATCATTTCTTTTCTCTTTAACTATTTTCTTCATTATCTGCATATGAATTCCTTCATTTAGCATCATCATTCAATTTCAATTCTTTCTCGCCAACATTGACAGTTTTTATCTTAGGTTTCATTTGTGGTTCAGTTGAAATTCTCGCCCAACTTGGCTTGTACTGTCATCTTTAATTTTTTCATTTCTTCTCCAATCTCACAGCCGAGAATCACTGTTTCCTTATTTTCCTTTTTAGCTTCGTTATTTCCATAGCCATATTAGCCATAGCCACATAGAGAGAGAGAGAGAGAGAGAGAGAGAGAGCAACATTTATTTTGCGCTCTGGGACAAGTTCCCTCAAGCGCCTTAAAGAAATAATACAATAAAAGAAACATACATAATAAACAATAATGAATTACAGTGAGTAAAAAAAAGTAAAAACATACAAATAACAATAATAATTGTAAAGAATATTAGCAGCAGTAATTTAAGGACAATCCTCCACGATGATGTCTATCATCAATAAATTCCGCAAAACGCAATACGCAATACCTCAACTACTAATAATAATATTGTACCCCTACTACTTAAGCACATTAAATATGTCAGAGAGAAAGCGACCGAGCGTCACCCAATTGATGACAGCAATTTTTAATAATTGTTGAGTAGCCACTTATAAAGTCTGCGTTTAAATGTGGGAAGGTTTGAACTTCCCGAATGCTATAAGGGAGAACATTCTACAGCCTAATCGCAGACAACCGAAAAGAGCGTCGGAAAAACTCAGTGCGACAATGAGGCAGCACCAACACCCTCTCAGACCCAGGAGTGGTTCTTCCAGAGATCTTGCCTCTGAAATGGAAAACCTCGAAGAGCAGACCTGGTCTCTCAGTCTGAGGGATTTCATAGAGTTGACAGCCCACAAAATAGTCTCATCTAGTATTAATTTTCAACCAGCATAGCTTTTTATAGAAAGGTGTGATATGCACATCGGCCCTAATATTAAAGATGAATATGACACATGCATTCAAGGCCCTGCAAAGCTTAAGATTTTGCTCCGCCGTTGCATCGGTAAAGGCCGCACAGCAATAATCAAGGTGCGAAAGGATGAAAGCAGTGACTAGCTTTATTCTGAGTTTGGCCGAGAAAAGATCACTAGATCTATATAGAATGGACCTTGGGTTCCCCGTGGTGGCTGCAATTTGACTCTCCCAGGAGAGATGTTAGAAATTGTAACTCCCAGGTATCTTATCAAAATTGAAATAACTAAGAAGTAAAATATATAAGGCTCTGATGAAATAAACACAATAAAAATCCAATAATAGGTCAGTAAGAGCCGCAACGCGGGTGGTAAAAGCGTAAGTAAAAACAATAAAAAGGTATAAATCAAAAATAAATTAAGACAAAAAATTTAATTAAACGTTTCGATCCTTTCTTGGGATCATCTTCAGTAACTGTCAACACAAAAATAAACAAAGTATGTAACATAAAAGTTTTTTTAAAACATTACGCTATCAAAAATATCAAACTAAAAATAGATATAAATACAGAAATACATACATAGGAAAAATTAGAAATTATATAACTCATAAAGTCATAGCAAAATCAGACATAATGGCGTGCGTCGCAAGACATGTCTCTTATCGATTCCAATCGTTGAAAAACAAAAGTAGTGCGTAGAAATGCTATCCATAACAAAACTATAAAAAAACACGTCCAAAACTTAAATAAATTGAGTAATATAACCCAATTAAAACGATAAGAAACTGAGACTCACCAATCCAACACACGCTAAAAGTCAAAAAACAACGCACGACCGTCACGTTTGTGAGTCTAATTGTAAGTTAAATTAAACGTCAAAGAATAAGCAGACATACACGAATATCCCAAAAACAAAAATAATACAGAATTAAGCAAACACATCAATATGAGTAAAAATTAAACGGTCGGCATATTCTTTAAAATCGATATATAAGTAGAATGCAGATTTTCGGTATCCTCTTGCTTATTAAGGCCATTTTTTGTCTCTTAATGAATAACATCTCCGACACAAGTCTTTTATGCAAAAAAGGTTCCTCATTCAAGATTTCCACATTATCCCAATCAAAATTATGTCCCTGCAACCGATGCTTAGTAATAACAGAAGTCTGGTTAGTATTTCTGTTAATATGATTTTTATGCTCTTTAACACGAGTGGACAATAGTCTTTTTGTTTGTCCGATATAAAAAGCGTCACAATCAGAACACGAAATTTTGTAAACAACATTATTGTGTGAGGATCTTGGTAATTTATCTTTTTGATTTATACCTTTTTATTGTTTTTACTTACGCCTTTACCATCCGCGTTGCGGCTCTTACTGGCCTATTATTGGATTTGTATTGTGTTTATCAAAATTGTTTAATTAAAGGTTAAAGCTAAGGAGAGCCTGTGCCAAGAAAGAAACTGCAAACGTACTAACAAAAAAAAGTTATATTTTATCGGACTGGATACAGTGCGGACAAGAAAGAGACGAACAAACTGCTATATCCTTCCGACCCTCTAGAAAGCTCTGGAAAGTTATATTTTCGTTTTGATTTTATAACAAAGAGGCGAGGGGCCTTCTGAGAGTCGGAGGACAAAGCAGTTTATTTTCTCGTGTTTGTTTGCTTTTGTGACAAGAAGATTTTACTGGAGTCGACTTTACCAAGTCGACTTTGTCGAATCGAGCCGGGCGCGGAGCTCGAGCGCAGGCGCGCAGGCCCGACAGTGTTGAGGCTGAATGGTATGATTTTGTCTCCTTTTGTCCTCAGGATCCTTTGGATGTGACGATCTACCGAGTGGACTTGAATTTGGATCTTTTGCACGTCTGCGGTGAACGCGTACCGGTTGGGCCCAGTGTGCAGGTAGTCGTTCAGCGTCACACCACTGACGGTGCGCAATGAGCCATTAAACACGACTCTGATTTTAGCGTCAGCGCCTGAACCCCTCAGTACCCCGTGATGTGGCAGGTAACAGCAACGTGAGGCGAGGGCGGCAGGTGTGTCAGCAGCGGGCGACATGTGGCCAAGAGCTGAGTATTCGTCTATGAAGGCGTGGTATTAATCCCGCAGGACGGGATTGCGATCAAACCGACGGACCATGGAGTGAAGAGCTTGAGAGGCCGCGTGGCGCGTGGATAAAAGATCAGGCAACTCTCCTTTAGTGGATAGGCGCACTGAGTAGCGACCGTCCGGGAAGCGTCGATGTGTCCGAGTGAAGTAGTTTTCGCATTTCTGTTCGGCGGCGGAGAGCGGCAAGGCGGCGCGAAACGGCTCTTCCCACTCTTAAAAACAACGCACTAGAGTCGGGAGGTCGTCCTCGACGGAGCACTGGAGCGAGGTTGTAGAGGCCGCAGCATGGCAGCTAGTGCCGATAGCTCCCAGAATAATCCACCCGAGGCGAGTCCGCTGTGTCGGTTCTTCTGGCTCTTCCTGTCGCAGGTCGAGAAGGACAACGTCGGCGTAAGCGTCAGCACCGAGAAGAAGTTCCACTGGATCCCGACGGAAGAACTCAGGATCCGCTAACTCGAGGTCCCGCACGTGAGGCCAGCAATGGGCGCCGCCGCTCGCGGTCCCGCTATACGCGGAGAGGCGCGATAAAACGAGCGCGATCAGGTTGCACGCGAATTGTCCCGCGCGCGAGGACAGCGCAACGGTAACGCGACCTCGGGAGAATCCCGTCTGGACTCCCCCGACACCGAAAATGGAGACGGAGGTCGGAGTTTGTGGCAGGCGTAGCCGCTGCGCGAAGGACTCTACCATCAAACAAGTTTCGGAACCTGGATCCACAAGGGCACGCATTATGTGGTGTTCGCCAAAATGGTCTGTCACGTAAACACGGGTCGTCGCCAACAAGACCGATGAACACTCCGCGGCTGAACGTTCGGCAACGTGCACGGTCGGCGAAGAATTCTGGATAGCGAGTGCCGAGGGGTTTCCAAATGCGTCGTGTAGAGTGGAGTGGTGGCGACCGGAGCACTTGCTGCAGTTCTTGGAGGATGGACACTCTCCGACGAGATGGCGGCCCAGACAATTCCAGCAGCGCTGGTGAGTGTTCACTACCTCCCGCCGTTCCTGGGCGGACTTCTTATATTGGTCGCAACACGCAAGGTAATGTTCTTCCTTGCAGAGCGGGCAGCCGCGATTAGATCCGGCGGAACGACTCTTCACGTGGTTGCTTCGAGCGGTGCGATTGCCTTTATCAGACGTCTTGCTGGACGACTTTTCCGAGGCGAGTCGGAGCGCCTCTTGCACCATCAGCTGCTCCCTCAGGAAGTTCTGGTCGAATCTGATCATAGGTTGGGGAGTCGGAGCTCTTCCCCATGAAGCTCTTCCATTCCCTGCGAGTTTTGCTGTCCAGGAGCTCGACTATCAAATGTATGAAGAGGTCAGAACTACAGGCTCCCTAGAAGTTATCCTCCGTGGCGGGCAGGTTACGGATGAGCTTCTCGGCGTCTTCCTGAACGCTGGTCTTCAGGTAGTGGATTCTCTGTGCGTCCGCCAAGAATGGATCATCAACCACGATGGCTTTGAAAAGGTCACGGAACGCAAGCCAGTCCTCGAACTTGCCAGAGAATATCGGCTGCTGGATGGGCGGGAGAGATACGCGCGCGGCGAGTGCGGATGTGGGTGCCACTGGCTTCGTCTCTGAAGTAGGCAAGCCTTCCTGGGCCCTGAGCCTCCGCTGCTCATCTAACAGTAGGCCCTTGTTCAAGAGGTAGACCTCCTCCGCGAGAGCAGGTATGTTCTGCACCAGGTAAGGCTCGTCTTTGTCCTCATCAAGGTGGTCGAGAAGATCATCATTTTGCGAGTCAAACTTATTCCAGTTCCTTTTCAGGGTTTGCAGTCGCGCTTCTACGGCGCTCAGGGTGATCCTGGGCGTTCCAAGCTTCTGGAGGTTCTCGTAGGCGCGAGAGATTTTCCCATAGAGCGCGTAGGCAATGTCTATGGTAGTTTTCATTTCAGGATCCATTTTTCCTTCCAGACGGAAAGCAACACTTCGCCCACGGCACCAAGACACTTTACCTAGGAAACGAGCGACGGCAACGAACTCAGCGGCGCGAGAGGAGCGAAGAGTAAAATCTCTTTATACAAAGTATCCTGTTCGAAGGACTAAAAATTGTTTAATTAAAGGATAAAGCTAAAGAGAACCTGTGCCAAGAAAGAAACTGCAAACGTACTAACAAAAAAAGTTATATTTCGTCAGACTGGATACAAGAAAAAGACGCGATCGAATTGATTCTCAGTGGTCGGATTAAGAGCGACTGACTACACGAACAAACTGCTATATCCTTCCGATCCTCTAGAAGGCTCTGGAAAGTTATATTTTTGTTTTGATTTTATAACAAAGAGGCGAGGGGCCTTCTGAGAGTCGGAGGACAAAGCAGTTTATTTTCTCGTATTTCTTTGCTTTTGTGACGAGAAGATTTTACCGGATACCAAGTCGACTTTGTCGAATCGAGCCGGGCGCGGAGCTCAAGCGCAAGCGCGCAGGCCCGACGATTGGCCTAACGGCGCGAATTGCTTGATGCTGGCGCGGGATACAAGCTGCACCCGATGCCCGCATGCAATCGAGTGCGCATGCAGGAAAACACGCACGCACACACACACACACACACACACACACACACACACACACACACACACATACACATTTATACTCAAAACACACTCAGGCAGAATTTAGAACACTTATGGATGTCAAAAATTGGAAGGACGTTCCGTTTACCTCAATCTTTTGAATTGCTTGTAGATCCAAGACGTTAATGTTTCTTGATGTGCCAAATATAATCGCCTGTGTTTTGTCAAAGTTGAGCAATAACTTATTTCTGGACGACCACTTTATGACTGCTCTTATATCTTTATTTGCCTTTGTATCGTCTCCTCGACCTCAGATGGATGGCAATGCAGAAAGATCTGTAGATCGTCCGCATACAGATTATATTTACAATGTCAAAGTACCTACCCAAAATCGAGTATATACAAAGTGTAAAGCAGCGGACCAAGGACAGAGCCTTGTGGAACACCCACCCTAATGAAAGCGGGTTGTGACACAGCGCCCGTGGAGCTGTCCCTAATCATTTGAGACCGATTCGTCAGGTAGGAAAAGATCCATTGCAGTACCGAGTCGATAAAATTCAGGCCCCTCAGTTTATTTAAGAGAATTCGATGATCAACTCTATCAAACGCCTTCGAGAATTCGAAGAAGACAGATACAGTTACTTTCTGATCCGCAGCTTGACATATGTCATCCAAGACCCTAAGCTGACAAGTTTTAGTGGAGTGTCCGCGACGGTATGCGAACTGACACGAATTATAAAAGGAAGAGTCCTCGAGATATTCACGAATTTGATCACTCACGACACGTTCCATTACTTTGGACAAAATCGGGAGGACCGATATAGACCGATAATGCTGCAGCCAAGTGGGATTTTTATTTTTGGAATAGGACAAACAATTGCCGTCTTCCATGCCGCTGGGACTATACCTGTTATTAGTGAAAAATTAAATATGTGCTCTAGAATCGGCATGATAAGGTGCACCGTGAGCTTGAGAAATCTCGTTGAAATGCCGTCCCTGCCAACTGCGTCAGAGGTAGTTTTTGAAATTGCTCTCCCGATTGTCATTGGCGTCACGTACCTTCAGTGGAACCTACAGTCTTCGTAGCTGCCAGAGAGTAGGTCCGTATAAATGAATCCAAGACATCAGTGCCCGGTGGTGTAGGAGCACAGAAGAAGAAATCATTTAACTCGTCCACAGAATGAAAGGCGTGTACCCACAGTTCGAGCTTTAGTAAGCCTTAGGTGCTTCAGACCACCCCAGATCTCATTAGATTTGTTTTTACTGTTGAAGAAACTGAGATAGAAAGCTTCCCGTATCTTTGATTGTGCATCATTTCGTAGCTTCTTGTACTTTTTGTAGTCCTGCACGTTCTTGCTCCTGCGTCACTTCCTTCTAGCAAGGTTTCTCAAGTGCATAGCCTGATGCAAGTCATCTATCAGCCAAGGAGCTGGCGCATTCCTGAAGTATCTTCTCCTCAGAGGAGCCTGAGAGTTGATTCTCCGAAGTAAATTTTTGTTGAGTATTTGAATCTTGGAATTAACACAGTCTGCAGCATATAAGCTGGTCCAGTCAATCTCCTGTACATTAGCTAGAAACGCGGTCACAATAAAGAAAGAGAGAGAGGGGAGGAGGGAGGAAGGGAAAGAAGGGGAGCAAAAGCAGCAGCAGGAAGGAGAGGGGAAGAGAGGAAAGAGAGGAGAAGAGGAGGAGAAAGAGAGGGGAAAGAGGGAAAGAGGGGAAGGGAAAAAGTAGAGGAGGCGGTGGAAGGAAGAGGAAAAAGAGAGAGCGAGCGAGAGAAAGAGGAGGAAAGAGGGAGAGAGAGTAGGGGTAGAGAGGGAGGGAGAAAGAGGGGTGGAAAGGAGGGAGAGGAAGGAAGAGAGAGAGGCTAGTCGGCCTCGAAAACAATTGGAAGAAGACCGAGTATTTTCGATCCCATTGCCAGCTGGTTGAAAATAATCTTGGGCTTGCTATCTTGGGCATACTATCCGGAATGCCGCGAAGTTCGCAGCAGAGACCGAGTAATTTCGACCTCAACTTTCCGGGTACCGTTCCTGAGATCTGGCGAAATCAGAAGACGGAATCTCTTTGCTAAGATTTCGTCGCTATTTATCGTCTAGATCTGCGGCAAATTATTTGACGGCTCGATAACGGTACTTGCCGACGGCGGCGTTCGGCTGAATCCGTCAGCTGTCAGGCGCGCTCGGCTGTACGTATACGTGTAGTACCTTGCCTTGTAAAAATTAACGTCGCTTTTCGGCGATTATAATGAGATTAAGGGGTTGCATATGCGTCTGCTGCACTGCCGGTGTTCGCCGGGTGCAGCCTTCCGACGTTCGGTCGGGAACGATGGGGGGTGCATTGTTACAAACTTATACTGGTCAAACTAAGAGACAACTGGTTACGCGTGTGAACAAAATTGCAGAGACAAAAAACATCCCAGCAACCACGGTGTAATTAGCAAACATCGCATTCTACATGAACATGATTTTAATTGGAGAGAACCGAAAATCTTACATGTTAAAGAACACAGAAAGAAAAGAGAGATAGCTGAGTTATGTTTTTTATGAAAAATTTAACAGCAATATTAATTTGCAAAAAAAACACAAAAATCTAAATCCAATATATGTATAACTCACTAATACATAGCGTATGATCTGTTTGTTTGTCTTTCTAAAAGTTCTTATGATTGTCTTTTTAATATTGTTTAATTTACACGTGTCACTTGCTAATATAAAACATTGTCTTCGGTTTTTGACTTTATTGCTATCACGTCTTTCGCTTTAACATCTTGAAAAGTAACGTTTAATTCGTGATTATGATATGTAACAAAAAAGTTTTTATCTCAATCTAATTTTGTTTTATTCCGCATTTTCAATGTTCGTTATTTTTGTTATTTCTAATTCTTTATCTTTGTCTAATTTTTTATTTTATAGCAACATTTGATAAGGGCCCGTACCCTAGGGCCGAAACGGTGTGTTCAACACTTTTTGTATTGGTCAGTCAACGTCACCAAAAAAAAAAAGGTCGGATTTTAATAAATCACTTTGAGATTTTAAATATACTTATAATTTAATAGTATATTAGCTAACAAGTGCGGAGGATCGTAAATCGGCCGAGAGTGCGGATTGTCACACTCGGCTTCGCCTCGTGCGCCAAACTTCCGCACTTTCGACCGATTTATGACCCGCACATGTTGGCTACGATATTTTGTGTGACCGGTGCGTGGAAAAGGAGCCCTTTCTAAAATTCCATCATGTGCGTAAGGGCGACTTTTTGCGCACCGGTTGCACAAAAGTATTTTAACTAATTTAATAATTCTTTAAAGATATACATAGTAAAAGATAAAAATATAATACCTGAACATAATTATCCGTTAATTACTTTGAATTTATAGCATTAATAATAACAACTAAAAACATATGTAACGAAATGGCCAACGTAACAAGCAAGAAAAAACATTCTGTACTTTAGTACGAACTTAGATATTTATTAACACATAAAAATAAAAAATAAAATAAAAATAATAATATAAAACTAGACATTAAAATTCAGAATAAAAATATAAAC